AGAACGGTGAGCGCTTTACCTGTCTATAAACTGATTCTTCTTCACAGTGTAGTCGCTGACATGTCGCGAGTAGGCCCCTCAGTATTGTGATCAATGTGCAGCAGTCTTCTACAATCCGATTTCCGCCTTCTCCGACAGGCAAGATCACCGAGAAATGGTTCATGGGGCTAGCGAAAATAGAAGCCCTGTTCCAAATGCCTAAGACGGTGAACGAAAGCTGGTCACGGAAATACTATGCGTCATGAGCCGGAGGCAATGCATATAGTTGTGGAAAACGGCATGAAGCATGGCAAAATTCGTTCAGCTATACTATCAATTCGTGTCAACAAGTAAAACATGCTAAAGTCATCCAAATATACAAAGAGGCTCATTCTATGCCGTATGGCCCCCATACGTAACCACGTGATTATTATCTCTGTTGGTCCAACTGCCTACAGTTTCCCAATGTTACATCCCTACTGTCCGAGACATTCATGATCCGGAAGATATAGGTGTCCAAGATCGCATTGTTTCTTCATTCCAGGACCCATTTCGTTTTTCTCGTTACAGCTTCTTCGCCTTTTCATCCGTCGATCATATGGTATAGGTATCTCCATTGCTACTGCTGAGGTGGCGCATCCACCAAATCATCCACAGATTTAGGTTCGATCACCTGATAATCATGTCCCCTCCGACGAGTACAGCATCATGCGAAGATGTTGAAGATGAGCTAGAGCCATCTGCACCAGTTCTAGCGGTGCTTCAAATTGACCAGGTTCCCGCTCTGGCTGCGAATCTCTTGGAAAACAAAAACGTGGGCCGTAGTCTGCCTGACATCCAAGGTATCTCACTGCAAGATTTGTGGTTCGATAACGCGCCGGAGAATCATCAGCGTCGGGTCCAGGTGCTAGAGGACGTCGCGGCAGTCATGGTTCAGCTCAACCAGTTTTCATTCTCCTTGGATGGTCGATTTCTGTTTGGTGGTCGTGGCGAGCCCGTTGGAATCGGGCCACTACGAGAAGTCGATCGCTTGGCTATGCACAATCGTGACGCGAGCGACCTCAGCGAAAAGCCAAATTTCATGCCCATCTATGTCGAGGGAGGTCCGTTTGAAGGGAACCTACAATTCTTTACAAGGGTAATGCTTAATAACATGGACAAGAGCCCGTTTCTTCTCGGATAAGAACGACTGCTAAGATTATTCATAGACTGCGTAGTGGACCTGTTTAGGGGTAGTGATAGTCAATTTACTCTCATCCATCCAGACTATGACATTCCAAACTTCATCGTCTCGCAGGAAGGGAAGCTGTTTAGAATTATTGACTAGGATAGTATCGCTGCTTAGCCCAAATGTCTCGGAAGTAGGCGATATCCTGGCCAGTGAAGCAATCCGATCAAACAAATCAAATCCGGGCCCTGGATTTGCGTATTTGAAGCTTTGGTGATAGTATGTTTGTTTGTTTGCTCGATTTGATGGTATTTGAATTGTCTCAGGGTTGTAAAATGAAACTATCGTGAAGCTATTTATATATTATTTTCTAAGCATTGCTATGGGCTCTTTTCTTCGTTATCCACACCGTTTTCTTACCTTCGATCGCCGGTTTTCTTTTTGATTCGTGATCACCTCATTTACTAATAGTTTATCAAGAGAGAGTAACGCCTCCTAAGGATACTGCGCCCTGCCGTATCCAGCTCTTCATGCATTCCAATTGCTCAAGGGTTCCTGATTTCATCAAGAGCCTCTGTGACGAGAGCGTTAGCTTGGCTTGACTAAAAGTTCTCTCGCATTCAGCTGCCATTGCGGGAATAGTAAGAAGGTCTAATGCAAGCTGACTAAGTGTTGGAAATAAGGTTTGCTGTGATATCCACTATTATACAGGATCATCAACTTCTCGCGGTTGAGGTAGTTGGAGATATCGCTCAAGCTCGGAGATTTGATCAGGCTCCTTTGGCGTTGTGTTCGTCATCCACTGGTGGAACCTGGAGGGCTCCTTTCGTGATAAAAACATAGGCTGAGGAACCGGGGGGTTGGAGGTTGATCAATAACAAAGAGGTTATCGTGTTGATGATACTACTGCTCCCAATAGCGTTCCAAACCCTTAATAGCATTATCAAACCAAATCGCTTGATCAGGATCATTCCACCGCTTCTTAAGCCATCGGAAATTATATTGTGGATGTAGTATCACAGAAGCAGCGAAAAGGGGCGAGTCCCTAAGCTTTGTATAGTAATTGTTTAATTTCTTCCACGCATTTGTAATTGATAGCCGAAGATAGGCTTTAGAGTTAGCTTGAAGCCCTTGAAGTCGCCTGAATTGATCTTACCGCTTGTCGGATTGGTATTCGGCTCGTATGTGCTGGGGGAGACTCTGCCACGAGGCTATCGGAAGCGATTGTGATTTTGGTGTATTTTGCTGTGATAATTGCCTTTGAGAACGTGTTGATACCCTCTTTGTCACTAACGGCATTTGGCTTGAAGTCTGTTCAATTTGCTCGTCAGTTAGGCTATTAAAAAATGCCTTCCAAAACTCAAGATCATCAAGAAGATACTCAATGCCGGTTAGGACTTCCTAAAGCTGGCTAAATCCGCCGGCCTTAGCGCGGCTTTGACACTGCATTATCTGCTCATAAAGAGGCTCAAGGATCGCCTTGACCTCTGTGAGAAGCCGCCAATCCTTAATTATAAGAACATCTTCATTTGGAATTCGATTCGATGGATCAGGCTCGAGCTGGCTTCTATGGATGAAGGCTTGGATGTGTGCTTGCTTTTTAATAGCACGATTAAGCATTAGATAAGTCGAATTCCATCGTGTATCGTTGTTCATAATAACCTCAAGCTCTTTATCCGATTCCTCGAAGAGTACAAAGTTCTCTGTATTAAGCTTGTGGGCGCTGTGTTGGAAGCGTTCACTTCGCTGTAGAGAGCTTCGAATAAACTTCATAATGTTCCGAAGCTTTCTAATTGGCCCCCTCTTTCTCCAATGCCTAAGATCTTTATCAATATCCTTAAGAGCCTCATAATGCTGTGATTCTTGCTCAAAGGTCTTACTATCCTCTCCATAAAGAAAAGCCCGACCAACTAGGTTAAGAATATGACCAAAGCATCGCATTCGACGGTCAGAAGCATCTAAGGGCATCATCATAGGGTTCAGAAGCTGGAAGAGATGTTGTATACAGGTATCATTATTTGTGGCATTATCATAGATAATAGTACCAACGCAATCTTCAATATCCCAATCTTAGATAATTTTATAGAGTGTTGATGCGATATTATTGCCGGTATGAGCCCTATACTGTTGCCGGAGGGCAAGAAGGCGATGTTAATGTATTCCATTAGGGTCTATGAAGTGTGCAACAATGCCATTTATTGCAAGCCTATTTGGCGAGGTCCAGAGGTCAAAGCCAAGATGCACCTTCGTCAGGGCATTCTAAAGCTCATCACGAATAATTTTCTTATTATCATTGAAGATAGTATCTAGCATTTAACGTTGGTTTGTTCTATTCAATAATAACCCAGAAAAAAGCTGCATATTAAGATCCATCATCAAGCTGCGGATAAAAGGATCGTCAAATGTATTGAACGCTTCATTGGAGTTGATGATATAACCAAGGGCTAGCTCATGAAGCTTATGGACTTGGTTCTTTGGAAAAACCGTAGATATTCGAGTTCGTTTCGGGGGAGGCTGATCATCGGTATCAGAGCTTGTAGTCGAGCCGCCGGATAGAGATCGATAGATTCGATGAGCCCGTTAAAGATACTCTTTTGCAGAAGTCGTAGCTGATGCCTTAAAGGGCTTAGAATGACCCATATGATCACATCGTCGGCAGACCCAGAAAGCATCGCCTAAGAGATAAGGTTAACTAAATAAAAACGCGATAAAAGAGAGCTTACTATATTGATCTAAAGGTGTAATTTCCCGTATAAAGATCCCTTTATTTACGATCCAGCTGGTCCGGCCTCGTGAGCCTTTCTTGCTCATCAAATCGTCGTTCACGTATCGTTTTCTTTTCCAAGTGGCGACCAGCATGTTATTGAAGGTCTCGCAAGCTCGAGGGTTATCTTGGGAGGGCGGTATTAGCTGCTGGATAATGCCGCGAGGGCGCGATGCATTAAAAACCGTGAGACTCATCGTCAAGGCCAGGGTAAGGTGGTTAAGGCTGTGATGTTGTAATTGTGGTGTTGATTATAAGAGGTATCACGAACGCGATGTGATAAAAACGCGAAAAAGAATAGTATGAGCTTAAACCTTATTGCCTAAAAAAAGGTAACTAACCAATTAAAAGCCCGTATAGTCTAATGGTATCGTAATTAGTCATAATAGCTAAAAGGTTGTAGGTTTAAATCCCAAGTTTATCCACCCAAATTCTATCATTTTGTACTAAAAATAGCTACGGAAAGGATATATTCCGAGACATTCTACCTACCCTAAATTTGATAAATATATCAAATATTCAGCCTTGAACAATTACTTATTTGGGACTGTGAATAGCTTTAAATTATTTGTTTGTTTGGTTGTTTGTTTATTATGTTTGATCGGATTGCTTCACTGATCCTGGCTGGCTGACCTGTAACTGGGATCTGGGCATGTATGGATACGGGTCCAACAAGGTTCTTCACTATCCCGACGTACAAGAAGACTCCCCGGAGACTTTGGCTCACTATCTCACAGTATATTACAATTCCATGGATCGATTGTCGGGGGTTTTACGCCCGAGTTCTTGTGGTCATAGTAGAACTACTAATGGGCGACTCAGTGCTTCAATATGACAAAGCATATACGCATATAAATACGTTAGAATATGCATTACTACTCTGTATTCAACACAATCAACATTTGATGCACCTGGTTGAATTCACTCCATAGATGTTATGCAATTGCGTGGTTAAACAACGAACAAAATGACGACCAAAGTGAGGAAATTGTCAACACCAAAAACTGACCTGCGATAGCATCAAGGATTTGAAACCGCACAACCTCTTGACCCTACTTTTCAACGACGTTCGACATCATAAAACGCAAAGGCAAAGTGGCCGAGTGGTTATGGCGACGGATTCAAGAGGCATTCAATATGTTCTTGAGATTGTTTTCAGCAGTTTCCCGTTCACGAAAGTGGCAGGGGTTCGAATCCCCTCTTTGTCATACAAGTTGATTAATTTTTTGCGACAGTCATAACCTTGTGAGAGATGTTTTTATATTCTTTTTTCCTTCCCCCTTCCCCTTGGTCCGATACTGCTTCTGTTGCGCTCTCTACTCCAACTATTCTATCACATAGAGGGCACACATGCTGCTTCCACTATATCAGCTGGGTCAGACAGGTATGCATATATAATAACATTGTGGGCATTTTACTCTACGTATCTTACCTTTAAGAGTTTTCAATGGCGAGTTGGTCCCTACAATATGGACAACATAGGTGTAGGTCGAGGATACCAACATGGCTTTGGGGTTGAGCACGCAGCATCTCGTCTACCTTAGCATTATACGCCTGCCGCTCCGCATTCATCAGATCACTCTCAAACCAACACACATGAAAGAAATTGTACAGTCTCATTTCTCAAAGCGCCGTCCAGGTGCAGGACTATGGTATTCTCAACGCTGACGCTGCCATCATTAGCCCATTCTCTGCCCCAAGAGTCGGAACGAGACGAGGATCGGCTCACTGTCGAGAATAGCTTAGTGAACTCCATACTTATATACTGCATCATGCTATATATCATGCTATATGGCTCAGAGTTTCACGACTGGCGAGCTCAACGAGGTGTTCGTGACCTGTTTGATGGATTTCATCATCACCAAGGAGCAATTAAAGAAGACCAGACAAGCCTAGCAGGGGCGAGCATTCTATGTCACCTTTAACTCCAAATATTTCCACAAATATCCGAGCATTTGGGTACGTGTTCTATTCATCTCAAGTGACCTGGAGGGCGGTTGAGGGAACTGCTAAAAGGCGCTTGACTTTGCTATCATCGGAGTGGCAAGTATCCAACGCCAGATTCATGGAGCCAGGCACATTGAGACAAACAATGACAGCGGCGGGGAATTCGGTCGATATTTCGATAGAATTAGATTAATCGGTGCTGTCTCTAACGACGAAAATACTACATCGGGATGGTTTGATAAAAAAACAAATCAGACGATCCATTAATATCTATCACTAACTACCAACTGTTGAGACGATAGCAATACTTCAAACCCGGATCTAGATTTCAAATACACAAGCGAGGATGAATCGATTTTGGTTCGGCATCATATCCAATAGCTGATGTTGTAAATGCCAGAACCTTGGGCTCAGATTAACAGATAGTTGAGTCAATCGAATGTCAGTAGCTTCTAACTGCAAGATGTTACATATAGTTGGCTGTCCTTATGGTCCTGATATGGAAAACAGTGTCTACCGAGACATGTGAAAATGAAAAGTAGGACGTAAAGTCTGAGCCTACATACTCGACAACCTGAAAACAAGTAGTCACAGAATTTATCGTTTCCGGTTAAGCGTGAGCTGAGATGAAAATAAATAAAAATTATAAATACACACATCTTCATCAATATGTCCCTGATGCAGATTCACACAAGATAGTTGATGCTGGAAGCATGCGGGGATGAGAGAACCATACCCCCTGCGCTGTTATTTACCAGCAGATCCATGAATGTAGATTTCAGCCGCACAATGCCAGCGTTGTATAAATAGACTCTTAAATAGACCCGATTCTTTCATTTAATGGCATCAACGTTCAAACTGAGTCGACTCCGACTGTCAATCTCGCCTGGATTTATAAATCTTATATAAGCTCGGTGGGACGTTACTCCGTGAGCCTTCACTGGCTCATATGGAACGTCGTTTCACATATATACAGGGGGGGGCATTATCAATCGCTTACTCTCATGAAACGGTGAATGAGTCTTCCCGTCGGCTCAAAAGAAAAAACTCAGATTCTTGCGTGTCGCTCGTCATAATGGGTAAACTTTGGTCGTTCAAGACCTTGCCGGTAGCCTTCACGGCAGCAACACTGGTCTGTGCGACCGTCGATGACTCCGCCAAAGATGCAGCTCCTTATCATAATGAGTTTGCATTGTTCCGAAGTTCAAATATGCCCAATGTAGACAAGCTGCCTACGGAATCGGATTCCACTCATTCCGCATCCCCACGACGGTGACAACGTCTACAGGTCGCATCCTCACATTTTCCGAAGGTCGGAGACACGATAATCGCGACTTTGACGATATCAACCTCGTCTACAAGCGGACCAAGACTACCATCGATCACGGAATTGACCCGAGCGATTGGGAAGGTCTACAAGAGGTGGTGGGTAAAGGCAATGGAACTTGGGGCAATCCGACGGCCGTCGTTGATGGGAGCACAACATACTTATTCCTCAGCTGGAACAGCGGTGATTACAGCCAGAACGGAGGAGACACGCTGCCGAGTGGCATAAAGACAAAGAAGATTGATTCAACCTGGGAAGGCCGGCGTCATCTGTATCCGACACAGAGCACAGACGACGGGAAAACGTGGGCGGAGCACACAGACATGACGAAACAATTGACTCCGAAGAGCTGGTCATGGGATGCCGTCGGACCTGGCAGCGGAATCACGATGAGATCCGGCGAAGTTGTCATCCCTGCTACAGGGCGCAACATTGTTGGCCGCGGGGTCTCGGGTAAGCGAACATGGTCGTACCAATCCCTCCGTGGTGCTGGCGCCGAAGGCACCATTACACAAAACCCCGGATGGCAACTTGTACCGCAATGACCGAGTTGGTGCGGACGACAGCTACAGGAGAGTAGCCCGCGGTACGCTCACCTCTTTTGGTGCATTTGCGCTGGACCACGGTCTCCCTGACCCCGCGTGCGAGGGGTCAACGCTGCTGTACAACGTCGGCCGACGCCAAGGGACCGGAGCGAACCATCTTCCTCAACTCGGCCGATAAGGACAGCCGTCGCACGATGATGGTGCGCATCAGCTACGACGCTGACGCAGATATGTTCTACCATGGGCGAGAACTGAGCGACGGGTCCATCTCCGGGGTAGGGCTCGAGGGCGGCTACTCGAGCATGACCAAGACGGCAGACTTCAAGATCGGGGCCCTGGTGGAAGCGGACTGGTACCAGATTGACGGATCAAACGATGATCATCGGGCCATTGTTTGGAGGAGGTTCAATTTGAGTTGGATGCTGAACCGACCTAAGAGTTAGCCGCGGAAGTTATCAGAAGAGAGAGAGAGAGAGAAAGAGAAAAAAAGACGGAGGATGTAAAAATAGCATGTGCCAAGGAGACGGGACGGCGGAGGTGTGAATAAAACGTGGTAATTTGTCATCATCGCCCTACTCTTTTTGGAGAAAAGTCCTAGGTGGGGAAGGAGGAAGAGAAGGAAGAGACAAACACATGAGAAATGTCGAGCAATAGCAAAAAGTATAGTATAGGGGAGGGGGGAGTTGAGTGCGTATTACTCCTCCACGTGCGACAATGACGCTTGTTTGTTCTGTCCCCCACCGGATGCCCTCATGCCGACTCGGCTTTGTCTCCGTCATCAATTCATGCATGTATCACAAGTAGGTGATTGCTCTGCAACGTGACAGCAAAGTGCCGGGACTAGGAATGGAAGCCGTGCCGATTGATGGAAATAAATTGCGAGCCTGCGACAGGTTTCACAGTTTACAAGCAAGCGGGCAGGCAGCAACGGAACTCCACAGGTCGTTTAATACGATGGGGGGCGAATAGGGAGAAAATATGGTATCGTGAAATCTGCTCACGTCAAGTTGAGATGAGATCCAGGGCTTGTCTAGACCGTGGGCCCTGCATATGAGAGATTAGTAATGTGCCAAAGGAGAGAACAAGGCTTTCCATACATTCTCCCACAAACTTGAACATGTATGTACTTGTAAAGAAAAAAAGAAAAAAGATGAGTATTAGCCTTCCCGGATTGCATACGCAGTACCACTTGCGTAGTAGTACCTAGGTAAGGTAGGAAAAGAACATGGGCTGACGGGCTCTAACTACATCGAGATTAAACGCTGACCCGGCTGTCTGCTCGGATACGGTGGAGGAGGAGGAGGTTGAGGTCGTTTTCCACAGAGTTACAGGGCGGCTTGGACGAAAGCAGCATGTCCATCTATCCACTTGGACTTGGTTTTGGATCAAACCAAGTGTTGGGCAGTCCCGGAAAAGATAGCGGCGGCGGACGCATCAAGAAAACGACGTTGAATCAGGGGGGAGAGCCCCAGACCCCCCCCCCAGCCCTATGTACTGCATACATACACCAATTGCTTGAAATGGCAAATCCCGCGACCCCCCAACCAGGCAGAGCAAAATGTCTTGACTTAGATGTATTCTTGGCATATGATAAGATTGTTCGGCTTTGACGCGTTGATTTTTTGTACTCACGTCATGTCTGCATGTCTCGGAAATTGATAGTCACATGTTTAAAGTTGCAACAAAAGGACCAAAGCACGGGTCGAAGGGGGAGGACCCCCAACCATCAAGACATCCAACCGCCATCATAGTGTGAAGGGGGAAAAAACGTTAGCCTGCCAGAGTGCAGATGCAATTCACAATAAGCTTACCTACTACTACTGTACATGGCATAGCACACAACGGCAGCACGGCCGCACACAAACAATCACACACCCTCCAACTTCGCACATTTTGACAGCCAAAAGGAGCATTCAAACGGATTCCCCCTTTGCCAATTCCGCATTCATACCTGCACACACACTCTCTCTCTCTGTCCGTCTTTCTCTCTTTGTCGCTTCACGCTTGTTGAGCCCGGATTTGTAGACTCTGTCGGTCCGGATGCTCCGTGGCCCATGCTTGCAGCAGTGCAGCCACTAATGCAACCTGGCCATGGCAGTTTTGTTCGGTTGTTGGTCTCCGTTACGGGGAGGGGTGTGTGTTTTTTTATTGGAGATTGTTTGATAATTTGAGAGATAATTCCAAAAAAGCTTTGATCCGAATATCGCTTGCATGCTCATCTTGGAACAGCTTCCTTTCTTCTTCCACTTTACGGTTGCAAAGCCAAAGGACTGTCATTACGACTGAATTTTTTTTTGGTTTTTTTCACCTGTCTCGGCTTACCCTGCCGGCCGTCGTCGGGTCTCGGCACATGCCCGAATCGTTTTAAACGACTCAATGCCCAAAGACT